AATTTGATCACTCGAGATTTTCTCCATCAACCTTTCGAACGTCGCCGGGGCATTGCATAAACCAAAAGGCATAACTGTAAACTGCCAAAGGCCCGTGCCGATCGAGAATGCGGTCTTTTCCTTGTCGGCAGCATCTAAAGCAACTTGCCAGTATCCGCTCTTCAAGTCGAGTGTGGAAAACATTTTCGAACCAGAAAGCATATCCAAGGTGTCATCAATCCGTGGTAGTGGATAACTATCTTTCTTAGTTACGTTGTTGAGCTGGCGGTAATCCACACAAAAACGGGTTGTTCCATCCTTCTTCTTTACCAATACTACCGGTGATGTCCATGGACTTGAGGATGGCTCAATTATGCCGGTCTCCTGCATTTCGTGGATTATTCGCTCTGCTTCTTCCTTTTTGGCCAGGGGTAATCGTCTAGGTCTTTGACGAATAGGCTGCGCATTACCGGTATTGATCTTGTGTTTTACGATATTGGTCCTTCCCCTACCATTCTTGTCAGTCTCAAAGACGTCGGCATTCTGACAAAGTAGATGTTGCACTTTGCATTTCTGCTCACTGGTTAGATTCCTACAATGTCTGTCCATCACTCCACTTATTTCAACAGGTACTGTTTCAGAATTTACCTTTCGGGTTACAGCCTCCTGTCTATCTTTGTTGAAATAGAATTCTTCGCCATTTAGTCTCAGAAGGCGTCTTCTTAAATTTATGTCAAAATCGTATTTTTGTAAAACGTCCAGCCCAAGAATTACGTCATCTTCAATATCTGCCACAAGCACTCGATGGTCAAAGACAGTCTTACCGATTTCAAGTGATACGTTAGCTTCGCCATAAACAACCGCTTTTTCTCTGGTAGCCGTACGCAGAACCCACTTAGTTGATACGACCTAGTTAGAACCCTCAATTACGCCGGGTTTTACTATGCTCCTAGTGGCACCAGTGTGCAAAAGAAACACGCATCTTCGGCCATTTATTTTTCCACCTAGGGGTAGGCTGTCATTCTGGTGCTTCAAGGTCTTCGTAAATGCTATAAATTCGGGGTCCTTTTGTCCGTGGGTCAACGTTTGCCTCGTTACGTCAACCGTATCTAGTTTTCCTGCTGTTGACGTCGAGTACTTGGGGAGGAGTACTTTTCCTACACTGCCTTCTCGTGTGACCTAGTTCGCCATAATTCCAACATCTTAGCCTTCGTGTTTCTTTATCGATCTTAGAGATGATTCGGCAGACGGTTTCTTCTAGAGATTCTGACGAATTCGTTTCTTCACGCAGTAGCCGAACCCTTCCCTGTCTGCTATAGGCCCGTTTAACAGTTTTGTACTCCAATGCACGAGCGAGTGCATCAGCTAGCGTCTTAGGTCGGTCAAGGCGTATTCGTTGTTGGGTGTCACTGTCCCGAAGTCCATCAGTAAATGCCTCCACTGCCAACCTTTCCATCAATTCTTCTGGAGTATTAGGATAGGCCAGTCGGGACAGTCTCGCAATATCGGCCTCGAATTCTTGTAGGGATTCCGTTGGTTTCTGCTGACGGGTTTTCATTTGGATGTGATACACTGCTGTTAAATGAGCCTCGCCGTAGTGCAACTCTAACCGTTTTACCAACTGTTCATAATCCGCCAACTCTTCCGGGGAAAGGGTGTTCAAAATGTCACATGCATCTCCATGAAGCGCAACGGTCAAAGCAGTGGCTTTTTCTTCAGGCGCCCAGTTATTCGCCTTAGCAGCCGCCTCGAATTGCTTGTGGTATGTGGCCCATGAGGACTTTCCATCAAACGTTGGTGGTTTTACTCGTGTTCTTGACTCTACACCGCTTCCTTGGCTGATTTGGCTGGCTTCGTTGAGTGTACTAGATGCACCAACATCCCCTTCGATTGGTTTTGTCTTTCCATTAAAAATCAATTCTTCCAGCACTTTTACCTTTTCTTCTGTTTCTTGAATATTCTTATTAAATTTTTCTTCCCATTTATTCTCCAAACTTTTCTTCCGATTTATTTTCCAAACTTCTGTTTTCTTCCAATTCACGTTTCAAACTTTTACTATTTTCTTCCAATTTATTTTCCAAACTTTTACTGTTTTCTTCCAATTCACGTTTCAAACTTTTACTATTTTCTTCCAATTTATTTTCCAAACTTTTACTGTTTTCTTCCAATTCACGTTTCAAGCTTTTACTATTTTCTTTCAATTTTTCTTCTAATTTATTTTCCAAACTTTTGCTGTTTTCTACCAATTTATTTTCCAGACTTTTACTGTTTTCTTCCAATTCACGTTTCAAACTTTTACTGTTTTCTTCCAATTCACGTTTCAAGATTTGCGACAATTCGTCTTCGAAAAGGAACGTTTCGCCTCCGCGAGCCGCCACTGAAGTTCTTCCAATTCTCTTCTTAACTCGGCTACTTTTAATTCGTATAACCTCTTTGCCATTGTAATATCTTTTACTCAACCCCACACCTGACATCAGTTGTAATGTTCGTGGGTTTAACAAATTAAATTTTAAGAAGAAAACTATTTATTTACACTAATTACTATTAAACTTAAAAACACTATTAAATTATTACTAAACTTCGGTAATTATTCTATTTATTTACACTACTGTTACTATTCACTGTTCTATTTATTTCACTTCTATCACTGTCAATTTATCTCTTGATTCACTTCTGCAACGGTCAATTTATTTCTACTCTACTTCGGCGATCGTCTCTTCCTTTTTATACTCCCTTGCCTCCTTTCGGGAACGTTCTCCAGCCTTCCAGAGAAGTCTCGTTTTCTTTGAACGGTTTAATTGCTTTCCCGGAACGCAGGTACGACACACACGTTTACAGATACGGCGCACATGAAGAAAAGCGCCCGCGGCTAGTCGGCGAATCGATAAGCCGCTCACACACACGTATGCCCGATCGCACACAATCACGCTCGCGGTCGCTACAATACATATACAATTTTGATATTAGCAATTTATTACATTATTCATAATTTGAATCTATTTGGGTCTAAATTTACATTCAGGTAGGTTAATTGTGCCACTTTACATGTTGTCCATCGATCGTTTATTGTAAGTCCAGTTTTACTAAAAATTCATTTACACTTTAACGGACACTTAGATTGTCCGTTTTCATCGAATACCAATAATATGACGTTTTTTAGATACAAATCTACTTCTATAATCGCTCGTGATAGTGGGGTGCTAACTGCGTGCTGTGTACCAACAAAGGTATTCAAAATCGACCATGGCGAAAATTTATCTCTTGCTGATTGTGTTGATAGTGTCGAAGTTGGTTGCTGCGGTTGATTGTTACTTATGATTTTGATCACCAATACCTCCGCTTTCTTCTTTGTTTTTGAAGTTTATTGAGCGTCGGAAAACACACTTGTTTTGTACCTTAGATCTAAAAAGTGTATAATGAATGAATGTCACTTTTTTCCACGTCACCCAGATGTGTTTCCAAATCGGATTTCAATTTTTTAATGACGTTAATTGTAATAGATGAAAAACCTTCCAACAACAACTAGTTGCACGATTGTTTCAAGCAGTGGGTCATTACAATTACTGTACTGGCTGTTATGTATTTTTCGCCACTCATTGATTTAGTTGCCTCATCAAAAGGCTTTAACACTTGACAAATTTCAGTAAACATTGTCCATTCCTCATTGGATATTAATGGTAAGTCTTTTCTCAATACAACAGTCGTGCTACATTGTGGTTTTCCAAATCTATGAAACGGTTAAGCATTTGGAATATAGAATTCCATCTTGTCGGAACATCCTGTATTAACCGTTTAGGGATTTCATCCGGTTTGTGGGTTGTCTGCGATTTTAACCGTTCTTGAAGTGCAACAGGACTAGTTTTAAAATGGCATACTATTGTCTTAACCTTGTCTAGGTTATTTGTTACATTCCACTCTTCAATAATATTAATTAACGCCGCTTGAATATTACTACTATTGTGCGAGTTCTAAAATTCAGCACATTTCAGTAAACATGTTTTCAATTCAAGTGCCTCATCAATCGCTCGTTTTCGTCACATTTTACCGGCATTTGCAATGTTTGTTTAATTTCTAAACTAAAATCGTTGAACTATCGCATTCTGTTTTCAAAAGCAGTTGTAATACATCCGGCATTTTTAGTTCCGAACTGATATCGATAAAACATGTGAATTTTTGCTTTAGTTATCGATCAAAGCACGCTTGCGATTGTTTTTTGTTGTGCCAATGAGATCGTTTATTTTAATATCAAGGTTATAAATCTACCGAAGAAGGTCACGGAGAGAAACGTGGAGCAGAGTTCCAGCTTATTGAAAAGGCATCCTCACGTCACGGAGAGAGGTTTTGTTATCATTGCCCTCTCCCAATTCCAGTGGAAGAAACCGTCCTGCCGTTTATTTCTGTTTCGGGAAGACTAGGTAGGAATAATGTAAACACGTTTAGATGTTGACTGCCCGGAGGCCGGTACCGTAGTGTCCCCGCAAGTGCTCACCAGCCCGCCGTTAGTCAGCGACCCCTCAGCTCGTTGCTGATTGGCTGCCCATAGAACTCTACTGGCCAATGGCAATCACTTCCAGAACACCTTTTCCTTTTTATTTAACACAAAGTACATTACAATTACAAACAAGTGTTTTTTTCTTAATCTAAATTATCTATGTCTATATTTACATAATCTTTCATCCATACCGGATGTCTTCTCACTCTTTCCGGTCTTACTATATTTTCGACAACTTGTTCTCTATTATTACGCTGAGCTCCACCCCGTTGTTTATCAATAATTTGTTCCCTACCAATGTCACGAGCTACAGCTTCTCGTTCGTCTTCCGCCCTTTCTGCGTTATTTTCTGCAAAATTAGGAACCCCATCTTGTCTCTAGTTGCAACCGGCCAGCTTGATCTCAACCCTGAATGTTTAACCGCAGATTCTATATTACTATTCAACTTATATGGAGCTTCGATCAGGTGCCATCGATTTCTCCGATATAATCGATTATTATAACCTATTTTTAACAAATACGAGTTTGGTAGGTCGCTTCGCTGGGCTACTGTACCGTATCTCCGTAGGTCTATAATCCACACTGCATCGCCTACATTTAACTGTGACATATTTCTCGACCAATGTCTTTTATTATAAATTTCGCTTTGTTTGATTTTACTACTACTTTCCCTAGCTTGTACTTCGCTGTCTCATAAAAGTCTCTAGTTTACTTGGAAGAAACGGAACCGTGGATAGTATTTTTCGCGAAAGTAATAATTCGGCTGGACTATACCCATTTTCTAGGGAAGTCGTACGATATGCCAATAAACCCAAATTTACATCTTCTGATTTGCTCAAAATCTTTTTCGCTACCTTAACCATCGCTTCAATCTGACCGTTACTTTGCGCATAGTGTGGAGAACTATATAGTTGTATGTTTGAATCCATATTGTTTGGCAAAATTACTAAATCGTGTCCTAAATTGTGGTCCATTATCGCTTCTCACTACTTCCGGAATTCCGAGTCTTGCAAAAATATGTTTGCAAACTTCAATAGTCTCTTTTTCTGATAAGTGTTTCAATGGAAAAACTTCGAAATAACGGGAATAATAATCTGAAAGAATTAAATACCATTTTTCTAATTTAAACAAATCTAGCGCGACTTTTTGCCACGGTCTTTTTGGAAAATCCTCTGAAACGAATTTTTCTTTACTATTTATTCTATTTTCCACACATTTAGGACAGAACTTAACTATGTTCTTTAATTGTTAACTAAGACCTAATCACCAAACCGTTTGCTGTGCTCTTGCTCGACATTTGTTTACGCCTAAGTGACCTTCGTGAAGATTTTTCAAAATTTCTTCCTGCATTAATACCGGGATAACTAATCGTAGGTTAAACAATAATACCCCTTCTACTAATGATAAATTCTCCCTGAAAGCATAATAAGGTTGCAATTTGTCTGGTAAGTTTTTTATATGAGGCCAATTAGTTTTGCAATATTTTTTTAGTTGGATACAAATTTCGTCTCTATCTTGTTCGCTTTTTATTCGCGTTAACATGTCATCCGTCGTAGGAATATTTTGAACGATGAATCTTACAAATGCTTCATTTTCTGACTCCAAATCTTCCCTACCACTCGCAATCGGAATTCGCGACAACGCATCCGCCAAAACTAGCTGTTTTCCTGGAACGTACTTTACTGTATAATTGTACCGCATCAATCGCATCCTAATTCTCTGCAGTCTCGGCGTCAAGTCATCGATCGGTTTAGTTTGCAAAACTTGGATTAAAGGCTTATGATAAAATCTTTAAATCTTTCTGCTGAATAAGCTAAACTCAAAGCTTCTTTCTCTATCTGACTATATTTTTGCTCTCCCACCGTAAGCTTTTTTGACATATAAGCAACTACTTTTCTTTCGCCCGTACCTTCTTCCAGAATCATAGCTCCCCCGATCCCATAACTTGACGCGTCTGCTGGAATAATGATTGTTTTATTATAATCGAAGTAAGTTAATACCGGCGCGTGCTGTAATATAGTTTTTATCTTATCGAACGCTTCCTGCTGTTTATCAAAGCAGACAAATTGTACATTATCAGGTAACAATGTATTTAACGGTTCTATAATTTCAGATTTATTTGGAATAAACTTAGCTGCATAATTTACCATTCCTAAAAATTGCATAACATTTAATTTATTTTGTGGGACTGGAAATTCTTTGATGGCTTTAACTCTTCACTCGGATAGGTGTTTTTTTTCTTCTTCCGCCGATTAGAAATGCTCCTTTGGCTGTAGATCTTGTCCTTGGATTTCCCGGTTAAACTTTTCTGGACCCCACACCTGACACCATGTTTCGGGAAGACTAGGTAGGAATAATGTAAGCACGTTTAGATGTTGACTGCCCGGAGGCCGGTACCGTACTGTCCCCGCAAATGCTCACCAGCCCGCCGTTAGTCAGCGACCCCTCAGCTCGTTGCTGATTGGCTGCTGCCCATAGAACTCTACTGGCCAATGGCAATCACTTCCAGAACGATTTCAACATGTTCGGACAAAACAACAAAAATTCAGGATCGGGAACACCAAAAAATGAGAGGATGACTCGCGCTCAGCTTAACGCTGCTGTTATAGTTGGTGCTATGCAGGATGCTCTGGACAATCTCTTTACGAGACTTGACCAATCCGTCCAGGCGAAGATCGACGTCGCCGTAACCCGTCTCGAGGGCAAAGTCAATGCCATCGGGACAGAAGTCACCAATCTGCAGGAGCGTGTTTCGGCTCTCGAGTCCAACGCGAACCAGCCATCAGTGGCGAAACTGGCGGAGGTTTGCAATGAGATCAAGGAGCGAGCCCGGCGCGCTAACAATGTCCTTCTTTTTAACTTTTCTGAACTTACCGACCAAGATGACTTTCAAGCTGTCAACAACTTGCTGGTAGATTTGAGTTTTGATTTTTCAGCCAAGCACGTTTTTCGTCTGGGTGGAAAAAAACCAAATCAAACGCGGGCACGACCTGTCAAAGTTATCTTCGATTCCCCTCAAAAAGTCACTCGCATTTTTCAAAACAAAAAATCCTTGTCTGACAGGGGTATTGTTGTGAAGAATGATGAAACACAGTGTGAACGCGAACATCTCAACAACGTTCGAGCGACACTACAAAAACGCATTCAGGATGATGAAATGAATCTCACTATCAGATATGTAGTGTCGTGTCGCGCGGGAATACTCAATAAAAGTCAACCTCTCTCTGTACTACCAAAACGTCAGGGGCCTTCGTACCAAAACTGAAGCTTTGCGCAAGAATATATCTGTCTGCGATTACGATGTTATTATTTTAACTGAGTCTTGGCTGTACCAGGGTATTCTGTCGTCGGAACTAGCCTACTCAGGCTTAAACTTTTTCAGATGTGATCGCAAGACGGCGAGTGTAAACAGTTGGGGAGGTGGCGTGCTTATCGCAGTGAAAGCTAATCTTCGATGTCAATTTATTGTTTCATGCGACGATCTCTATGAACAAGTTAGTATTTTATTATTTCACGGCAATTCTCAACTTGTCATTAGCGCAGTTTATATCTAACCAAATAGCTCAGAGCAGGTTTATGAAAACTGTAGTAAATCACTTGTCGAACGCAACTTTTGTGATGCAGATTTTATTGTAGCTGGTGATTTTAATCTCCCACATGTTAAGTGGATCGATTCTTTGTTTTGTTTTAAACACTTGTATAGCTCAGTTACATCTTCGTTAACTAAAAAATGTTGTGAAACGCTTTTATACTGTATTAACTTTCTAAACTTATTTCAATTAAATAACGTTTTTAACAGCTATCAATCGACTTTAGATCTTGTCTTTAGTACGATTCGCGATATCGATATTAGACGTGCAATAGATGTATTGATTGATATTGATCTGTATCACCCGCCTCTCATTGGCATCTGTCCTTTATCATCAGATAACGTTACGCACCCAGTGCAGTTAACTCGTGATTTTTTCAAAGCTGACTATCAAAGTTGTGTGTATTTTCTTAACTTAATTGATTGGTATTCAATTTTATCACATCAGAATGTAAACACCAATGTTAACTGTTTTATGGAAATTCTGAACGATTGTATTATTAGATTTGTACCGTGGAAGCGAGTTAATTAGGATACTTTTCCTGATTGGTTCTCTAACGATCTGAAATATCTTATAATTGAAAAAAAGAAGGCGCACAAACGGTTTAAAGCTACAAGAACTTGTTTTTTTTTTGTACGTAACGCCATTAGATTTAAAAAAAGATAATTTATGAAATTTGGATTGCATTAGTTGAGGAAGATTGTAGGTATTGGATGTACATGGAACTTTTTGCCATATGTCAAACTATCAGCGTTTAATTTGTCTTCAAGAAATGTATTTGCCAGGCTAATTTGGTATTTAATTGCCAAACTTTTCAAAATATTAACTCTACTCTTATTACTATTAGCAAAAGTTTTAAAAATTTGATGTTTTGATTCAAATCGCATACTAGACAAATAATCCAGTGGTCCACATTCTTTAAAAATGCGGGGATAATGTGTCAACATATTAAATTTAAATGTTAGCTTTGCTTTTGTTAATTGCTTATATAATTTATTGTGTTTGGAGATTAAATCTGAATTTGAAGTGTCCTTTTGCAAAAATTTACACGTAACAATATTTAAAATTTTTCGTAATGTTAAATACAATTTCCATACAACGTTCCCTTCTGGTACAAAATCACCAATATAAATAGGTAAATATCTCGAAAGAAATAATACTTCGGATGCTGATAATCTTAATGTTCCTTTACCCAATTCCTCCAAATCAAGTGGTAGCGGTAAATTTTGGACTTTAATGTTGCACTTAAAAGTGGAGATTCTGTTATTGAGTACACCAATAGAAAAGAAACGCAACGTAGAAATGAAGTAATATAAAATAAATGCTATGTCAGTTTTGCAAATTCTTTCAAGAAGATCATGTATAGGATCACATGAATAATTTTCTGTTACGTGAAAATAATTAAAACGATGGAATACACATTTTTCTTTTAAACCTGTCGATGAAATATCCCCGCATTCTAAGTCAATGGCATAATTTTCTTCGGTTCTTAAAATCTCCGCCTTCTCATAGCAAAGAGAGTGTCGCATTTCTTTTGAAAGTTTACAAAATCGGCAGCAGTAATTTGCTATAAAATTTTCTACAAATCCTAACATCTGATTTTGACCTAAATTATCTCCATTTGTTAAAGCATGTTGAAAGAAAATTCTGTGCATTTTTCCTGAAACGGATACTTCAATCCCAACTTCATGTAAATATTGTAGTTCTTCGATAATAATATTAAAGATATTTTGATTTCCAAAACGTTTTCTGTCTTGAGTTTTAAACAAGAGAGCCATAAATATATTGTTTAATTTGGAACTGAACTGGGGTGGTAAACAAGGAATACAATAATAAACGCCGCCAATTTTGTTAATTCCAGAGTGACTACCTAGTGGATTTCCGCACTCAAAGTCGTCATAATACAGAAATAAAGGTAATACTAACTGATCAGGATGAAATGATTTAGATTTAGTTTTCCACAGGTTGGCTTGAATGAAGTTAGAAATGATATTTTTTTCGTTTCGCAAATAATTAATGTATTCTAATGTAGCAGTAAAAACATTAAGTACCTCGAATATTTTCTGTAAAATTTTACGTATCGGTATGAATGTAGCGGTGGCATTTACATAAGAAGTGGTTGTTAAATTATTCTTTTTTACAATTTTTTGACGACTACCGATGACTACAGAGATTGGTTCAATGTAAAGGCCCCCCTCTTTAAAGAATTTAATGCATTTATATTCACTAGATAATTTTGAGCTTAACCGAGTAGAAGCAACGTTATTAAAAATTGTGGTAATGTCTGATAAAATATTACATGGCAGATTATGATGTGTAAGTTTCTCTAAAATATCTTGTTTTAATGAATTTACCTCATCGGCGAAATAACTATTTACATTGTTTACAATTTCGTATGCATATTTTCGAGGAAGGTATTGGTTGCACCAAATTTTTGAAAAAAGCTTCAAATATGGAACTTCACGGTCATCTGATATTTCGGAATTGGAAGAATTGGCGATGGGATTTGCAACAGTGTTGTCTACTGTCATACAGTCGTGGGTACCTTCTATTAACGTAGTATTGTTCATTAGTGAAGTACCAGGTTTGCCGACCAAAATGACAATAGGCTGCTCTTTGGTCTTGCTAGTTTCGAATCGCTTGTCCCGCTGTTCCAGAGTCGTTCGCAAAAGATCTTCTTGCTGGAAAGCAAAGAACGCGATAAATAATGTTTCATAATCGCTCCATTGCAACTCATGTACTCATACCTGTACATAAACCAAAAATTGAATTTCTGCTTTGGAGTATTTTTCAATAGTGGTATTGTCTTTAGATTTTGTTCCTTTGCGGCGGTTGATCGATGGAAACAGCAACGGTAAAATCATAAGAGCCGCATTCTGTTGTATATGATCAACAACAAAGATAATTTGATATAAGTGTCGTAGGTAGATATAGCATTTGCAGGAATCCTTACTTTCTGAAAGAAATTAATTTCTGTTTTCTGTTGTATGCGTATCAATAATCCTTTTGATATAAGAGCAGGTTCGCTTTTTTCCTAAATTAATAATTGACTTAAAAATTAAAACCCATTGGCTCGTAAATTTTTTAGCATCTGGATGCTCACATTCAAAGTCTGTAAGAATGTGCAACAATAATCAGTGTTAGCATAATTTCAACTTAGTGATATGTTGAAACATACCAACTTAAATCCTAAAGGCTGCTTTAGTGCTGGTTATTGGTCGTAGTATTCGAGCAATTGCAAATCCCGATTACTTCGATACCTCTGCAATCGAACTGTTGAAGTAAGTTTCACTCGTTGATGATACGTCTGCAGTAAATAGAGAATGAGAGGGTATGAAAGGGTGTATGGGAGGGAGGGATTTTACTCAGTCATACCTTCACAATGTTCTGCTGCTTCCTGATGTTTCAAACTACACCTTCTTTCTACTAATTTATATTGACGATACTTCTTCCTTAAATTGCAGTATTTATCCCAAAGTTTCCATTGAGCGGAAACGGTACGTCTACGGATGTCACGAAGCCAATGGATGAGATTGCTTTGGATAATTGTTGAAATCTATCCTTTGTAATCCTATATGAAACAGAAAATCATAACATATTTCCATACTTATGCGGATTATACTAGCTCTTTTACATCATACCTAGCATCTGGATTTCCAGCTAGTTCATTATCTATTATGAGTTTGACTAATATATTTCTTTTAACTGTCTTGTGAAGATTGTAGCATTGAAGAACAATTCTACCGTCAATAGTGGATTTCAATAATGTCAGTAATGCACTCTAAAAAGGAAATAGTACAGAAATGTCGGAAAAGAATTAATATACTTACAGAGGCTTTTGTCTCCTGGAGTTCTCGTACTTCAACTTCACTATTTTCTGATTCAATTATGCTTTCGTTAGAATCGAAAGTAGCACTTACTGATGGTTCTACACCTACACTGTTGTCACGATCTAAAGTGTCATTTACTGAATCTCCAGGTATACTGTTACAATTAGAACTGACTGGTGAGTCTACAGGCAGGAACTCGATCGTGGAATTCTGAAAAATAAATATTGCTTGAAATCTATTTTTTAAAAGTGATTGTGTCGTTAGTTAGCAGTGGATATTGCAGTAGGAGACATTACATTGATTTATACAGGATATCTCACGGTGGCGGCCTAGTAAAATATTTCAGAAACTACTTCTTCTTTCTCTAAAGAAGATCATGCCATTTCTGTAGTACTTCCGGTTGTAGTTTTCGAGTAATTTCTATTTTTATGAAATTTTGGAAAACAATAGGTATAATGGGATGTCACCGTAAGACACACCGTATATAATCAGATTGCTGTTCACTATATTAAACTCTACTTTACGATTGTTTAGGCTTATTGAGTCTTTGTTAAAGGTCATTAAGTACTAAACTAAGTTCACAGTGTCGGTCTATTAACAGTACTAAGTTTGTGTGTAAATACAAGTTAGCATACTCTACAACATATTTTTGGACCCAAATTTTTACGTGGGTGGACGGGTGTTTTTTTTAGGTAACGCGTTCATATCTTTTTGGAACAATGGATAATAATGATTACGATGAAATGAAAATAAACATAGGGGAAGGGGGGGGCATGATAGGGTAGCTAAGGGAAATAATAAAAATACAGCTCAATCATTATGTTTATTGGCCTCATTAATTTATGGCACGTTATGTCATTAATCTAACTATGATTTGGCACAGTCTTTGGAGAATCAACATATCACATTTTTTAATAATTAATAATTAATAGGAACATTATAAAAAACCATCTTGCCCCATACTATGGGGTATGATGGGGTAACGAAATTGGGGCATGATGGGACAAGCTAGTCCTTCTCACAAAACAAACAAATATGTATTTCTTCCGGATCTTCATCGTCCACTCCAGCACAAGCGTTGTGAGCCCAACGTCCACAGAGCTGGCAGCCTACCCAAGGTTCTGATGATGTCAAATAATTGTTGTTTACATCATTACAATATAAGCATATGGCATCTTCATCATCGCTCTTGTGTTGTTTGGCTGAGGGTTTAGTCTTTTGTTTGTTTTTATGATTCTTTTTGAGGCGAGGATCATTAGGATTGGATGTTTTTCCCGGCTTTTTCAGATTTTCCAGCTCGTTTTTATAAGGAGTTGAAGTTATTATGGCTGTTTTTCCTCGGCGGTATTGTTTCCTTTTTTCAGTTCGTTGAACAGAAGGAATTGGCAAAATATCACCTGGGGATGCATTGCTGAAGCTAGAAGTCAGATCACGGCATGCTGCACGAATGGAAGGTTCAGGATAATAAGAACATCCAGGTTCAGGTTCACGGATGGGTGTTTTATCCATTCTTGGTGTGACATGTTCGTAACATTCGGTGATTAACTCTGTTCTAGGTGAAGTGGAAGGTGTAGCTTCAGGTTCTGCTGCAACAGTTTCAGTATGAGAAGTTGTCACGACTGTTGAAGATACAGTTGTGACTGTTGTTGTTGAAGACAGATATGGCACTGCTCCAGATTGAAGAGATTCGGGTTCTGATCCTCTTTGTTGTTCCACATTCGATGAGTCTGCAATATTTATGTTCGTAGTTTCCGCAGAAATGAAATCAGCATCAGTAAAGTTATTCAGGTTATAGGGCCATATACCACATTTTCTAAATGCGTTAATAGCTGTGGACATTGTAGCCGCCTGAAGGTATGCATTACCAAATATTTCACTTATCTGGAATACAGTTACCACACGTCCAGGATGTGATCTCAACCAACCTGTAACTGCATGATCGTAATAAGTGCTGAGTGGCTTCATAAATGCTACATCTGCAGGCTGCAATCTGTGTGTGCAATGGGGGGGAAAGCAAAGTATAATTACTCCATTTTTACGAGCTAGATCAATCACCTCCAAATTTTTAGTATGACTCACATGACCATCTAGAAGCAGCAATACATGGTTAGTAGGAGTAGCTCCGGAAAATTTTATGAAATTTTTAAACCAAGTCAAAAATATTTCTGATGTTATCCAGCCTCGAGGATTACAAACTGCTGTAGTACCTGGTGGAGCAGCATCTAAAAGTTCTGGCTTCATTCGTTGTCTTGGAAAAATCATCAGTGGGGGCATGTAGGTTCCAGCAGCGTTAAAACATATTTCTACAGTGATAGTCTGTCCTCGTTCAGCAGATGATAACGAACCCACTTGTTTTCGTCCTTTCATAGCTAATATTTTGCTCTTGGTTTTAGACACAACGGATATTCCTGTTTCATCACAGTTATATATTTTGTCAGGGGTCAATTCATACTTATCATAAATATCTCCGAGCAACTGATAGAATTTACTTACGGCCACTTTATTGAACCCCATTGCTCTTGCTGCTGACGTGGCTTCAGGTTTGCGAATTGATAAATTTTGATGACGTTTCAAAAAACCCTTAAGCCAATCAACACCTGCCATTTCTTTATCAGTGTTAAAATTGTGTGCCTTTCCATTTTTAACTGCCAATTGATATGCTAGACGTCTCAGTTCGATAGTTGTTAGTCCAAAAAGACGCTCTTCCATATATTTCAGATATGCTTCTATTTCACCTTCTTCTTTAGTTGTAAAGATAGATTTTTTCGGACCTAAAGGTAAACCAATGGTAACTTCACCCCCTTCCTTCATTTTCTTAACATATCGCTCTAAAGTAGTCTGAGGCACTGCGTATGCAGAAGCAGCTTTTTTGTGGGGCATGATGGGGTATTGGTTAATACCCCACACCCAATACCCCATCTTGCCACATAAGGTCGCTCTGGACAAAAAAAAAAAACTAATAAAATGTTTGACGGATTCCTGCAAACAACACACTTTAACAAAATAAACAACACTAGTAACCGAAGATCAAAAAGATATAAATGGGGTGATCATAATTACCTTAAAATGTTGACGTTTAACCTCACAAAAAATTAGATCGACGAAACACTAAACCAGTTTTTCGTTTGTGGACACAAGACGCGTGCACTCCCGCTCACAGTTTCTCTCGCACTAACCGTCGGTTGAATGAGGCTTCCTATTGGCTTATTGTTTTACATTCACAAACGTCTACTTTCTTCTATGTGTGCGGTACCCCGTCTTACCTCGCTTCCCGTCATGCCCCCCCTTCCCCTACTAAGCCTCTTTGATAATCAAAAGAAAATAATTGAAAAACGCGATCAATACATCTCTCTTGCACATCATATTACTAATAGTTATAAAGAAACTATAGATAAAATACAGCAAAATTTCAATAAAACAATTAACTTAATAAATTCAGAATTAGACATAATAAGTAAAGAAAATCAAATTAACTTTAATTGCACAACAACTTTTGAATCAATTACAAACAATTAAAAGGTCACTCACCTTTGCCCGCAAAGAAGTACTAAATTATGAATTAATATCAAACAAACAAATACGTGAAATGATGCAACATTTACAGGAAATTTATAGCAAAAATCAGAAGATAATCCAATTATATACATAAAATTTAATAAACAAACCATGATACTTACAGAAACAGTCACAATTGGAATAATTAATTTTCCTATAACTTTACCCATCATTTTTAAAATTAATCGATTATATCCCCTAATTAATAAAAATCAAATATTACTAATTCCTTCAAAATTCTTAGTCAAATTTGAATCCCTTTCCTATTGGTATAAGCAATGTACTAATATAGACCAAAACAACTATTTCTGTAAAGATAAGATTATAATTAAAGTTACTAAAACTTCTGAGAGTCCTAGCATAATCGTTGAGCAGTACCAGGAAACTATTCCCGTTCATAATGGAAGTCTGTTAGTTACCAGTAATCAGCGATGGACTATCGATTCAAAATCTTACACGCCTGGATCATACATTATCAATTACAAAGACAAAGTAATAATTAATCAAAACGTCTTCACCAAAAAGGAATTAGAGGTATCCAACACCAAAATTACAACGTATCATATGCCGATACCCCGACCATTAAAACGGT